GTATTCATACAGCGGATATATTTTCCATAGAGTTATGCGTATCAATATATGATCCGCTGGATTAACAACGGTAGGATATTTCGTGATCTCTCGGTGCTGCTCGCTGGAAACTGAAGCAGCAACGAATTCAGGGTTACAAAACGAATAACCGTGTTTTTCCCTCTACGAACCGTTGAACATTATGGACGAACAAATCAATGCCTCAGCACCTCAATAGAGACTCAAGTCTCGTGACATACGTCTCGAGCGGCAGCAGCTGTGCGGACGAAAAGACACGAGCAGCTACTTCTTAACGTTCGGCACCGTAGGACTGTTACTTGCGATGGAAGAAAACTTGGTCGACGTGGTTCGAGAAACCGTCGCACGTTATCGATGGCATGGCGTCGCTGATCACCTGCCATGATTTATCGTTCTGTTCCTCAAACGCGATGAACGCACAATAAGGATAATAACGTCCCATTTGTTCCAATTCCGCGCGGGGTAGTTCTGTAGGCTTGCGGCCGAGTAGCATGCTTGAAACGGCATCGATTGTCAAACTGTGCAAGATGAGCAGTAGGCTTTTAGCTCCTTAAAAAAGGCGTCAAATCGAACAATGAAACGGAACGGAACAGCAATGAATCGTGAGTAAGGTGTTTTTATAGCTGTCACGAACAACGATTACGTGAGTTACTGGCTTTAAAGAAATTGCTTGAATTGTTTATTGCCAAAAAGAAAAAGTTCTTCATTGCCAAAATCTTCAAAGGGTCCGTTCCGCAAAAACATTTTATCGAAGAAACGCGTGACGCTTCGGATCAAGCTGGATGCATGATCAAGGGACGTTATGTGACAATAAGTGCGACGAGCAATAGTCGCAATGACGCTGCGTGCTATGGAATAATCATAAGATGTAGATACGACCAAACAATTAAGGTATTGATAAGTATCATAGTTGAAACTGGCAGATTTAATTCGTGCCAGCGTACAGATTAGGAGCGAAAATTAAACGCTTGTGGAACGCCATTAAAAAAACGTGCATATTATTAATTAGAATGTTGCAGTGGCTCAGACTCAAATAAGTCAAAAGAAAAACTTGGACAATTTTACGCCATGGACATTTCTAAGTTTAATATTTTGAAATTACTAATCTGTGCGAAAACAGAGA